GGTATGATCTTGGCTCACTGCAACCTCCGCTTCCCAGGTTCAAGCGATTCTTCTGCCTTATCCTTCCAAGTAGCTGGGATTACAGGCACCCACCATCACGCCTAGCTAATTTTTGTGTTTTTAGTAGAGATGGAGTTTCACCATGTTGGCCAGGCTGGTCTCGAACTCCTGATCTCAGATGAGCCTCAGCGTCCCAAAGTGCTGGGATTACAGGCATGAGCCACTATACTCGACCAGTGTTTTTGATTTTTAGTAGAGATTTCTCTGTGTGGCCCAGGTTAGTCTCCAACTCCTGAGCTCAAGCAGTCCTCTTGCCTTAGCCTTCCAAATGCTGGAATTACATGTGTGAGCCACTGCAGCCAGCCAAGTTTGCATTGCTTCTAATGAGAAATTAGTTGTCATCTTTCTAGTTGCTTGTAAGCTTTTACCTCTATCTCTGATTTTCAGCATCTTGATTATTATGTGCTTTGGGATGGTTTGCTGTCTGTTATCCTGCTTCAGAATTGTTGAAAATCCTGAGTCTATGAGGTTATAGTTTCATCAAATTTTAAAAGTTGATTCCAGCACCTTGGGAGGCTGAAGTAGGCAGATTACTTGAGCCCGGGAGTTTGAGACCAGACTGGGCAACATGGTAAAACCTCAACTCTACAAAAAAATAAAAAATAAAAAATTAGCTGGCCATGGTGGTATGCACTTGTAGTCTCAGCTACTTGGGAGGAATCACTTGAGCCTGGGAAGGTCGAGGCTGCAACAAGTCATAATTGCACCACTGCCCTCCAGCCTGGGTGACAGAATGAGACTCTGTTTCAATAAAAATAATTATAATAATAAATAAAAATTTTAAAATAGGCCAGGCATGGTGGCTCATGCTTAAAATCCCAGCACTTTGGGATGCCAAGGTGGGTGGATCACAGGGTCAAGAGATCGAGAACATCCTGGCCAACATGGTGAAACCCTACAAAAATTAGCTGGGCATGGTGGCACATGCCTATAGTCCCAGCTACTCAGGAAGCTGAGGCAGGAAAATTGCTTGAACCCGGGAGATGGAGGTTGCAGTGAGCTGAGATCGTGCCTTTGCACCCCAGCCTGGTGTCAGAGTGAGACTCTGTCTCAAAAAAACAAACAAAAAATTAAAAATTAAAATTGGCCATTACTTCTTGGAATATTTTTTGTGCCCTCTTCCTTTTCTTAGACTTTTATTATATATAAGTTGGATTGTTTGACATTTTCCCACAGGTCATTGAAACTCTTTTCATCTTTTTCTTTTCTTTTTTTTTTGAGACGTATTCTTACTCTCTCACCCAGGCTGGAATGCAATGGTGTGGTCTCAACTCCGCCTCCCGGGTTTAAGCAATTCTCCTGCCTCAGCCGCCTGAGTAGCTGGGAATACAGGTGCATGCCACTACACCTGGCTAAATTTTGTATTTTTAGTAGAGACAGGGTTTCACTATGTTGGCCAGGCTGGTCTTGAACTCCTGACTTTGTGATCTGCCCACCTTGGCCTCCCAAAGTGCTGGGATTATAGGCCTGAGCCACTGCGCCCGGCCTTTTTCACTTATTTTCTTTGCCTTAGGGCTTCAGTGAATTTAAAGACATGATTTGCTATGTCTTCAAGTTCACTGATCTTTTTTTTTTTTTTCTGATCTTTTCTTCTGTAGTGTCTAATCTCCTATATCCCCAATAAGTAAAATTTTCATTTCAGATATTCTTTCATCTCTAGAAGTTCAATTCATTTTATTTTAATATTTTCTCTTCCCTATGTTCATGTTTTTCCTTGTATACATGTATATAGCCTTATTAGCTGCTTTTAGCATTCTTGTCTGCAATTTCATCATTTTTGTTATCCTGGGGTTTTGTTTGCTTGTTTGTTTTTTAAGACTCACTCTGTCACCCAGGCTGGAGTGTGGTGGTGCAATCTTGGCTCACTGCAATCTCTGCCTCCCGGGTTCAATTGATTCTCCTGCCTCAGCCTCCCTAGTAGCTAGGATTACAGGTGTGTGCCACCATGGCTGGCTAATTTTTGCATTTTTAGTAGAGATAGGATTTTACCATGTGGGCTAGGCTGATCTCAAAACTCCTGACCTCAGGTGATCCTCCCACCTCAGCCTCCCAAAGTGCTAGGTGTGAGCACCAAGCCTGCCTTTTTTTTTTTTTCTATTATCTGATTTTTTTTCTACTGCTATGGTTCACATTTTCCTGCTCCTTGACATGTCTAATAATTTTTTATTAGATGCTGGACATTGTCAATATTATGTTGTTGAATGTCTTACGTTTAAGAGTGTTAGTTTTGCCAGGCATGGTGGCTCACGTCTGTAATCCAAGCACTTTGGAGGCCAAGGCAGGCGGATCACCTGAGGTCGGGAGTTCAAGACCAGCCTGATCAACATGGTGAAACCCCATCTTAAAAAAAAAAAAAAAAAAGACTATTAGTTTTGTTTTGGCAGGCAATTAGATTTGATAGAGCAAGTCTGGAGTGACCTTTTCTCTAGGACTAATTCTAGTATTTCGACTGGATGCCTCAGGTGTGTAACAAGGAATAGTCAGAATGTGAATGTCTCCCAGGCCTGTGTAAGCTCAAGGAATTGTTTAACTTATAACTCCTTGGCTGTTCCTTTTTCAATAATTGTTTTTTCTCTGACCTTGTGGAGTCTTGTTCTATACATGCACAGCTTAAATTAGTATTCTGCCAAGAACTCAAAAGAAATTTTATGCATATTCTTTTTCTGTGTAGCTCTCTTCTTTCTAGTATTTTGTTCCATAAATTCCAGCTGCTTCACACTTCTCAAACTCCAATCTCTGGCCAGGCGTAGTGGCTCATGCCTATAATCCCAGCACTCTGGGAGGCCAAAGCAGGTGGATCACCTGAGGCCAGAAATTCAAAACCAGCCTGACCAACGTGGTGAAACCTCGTCTCTACTAAAAATACAAAAATTAGTCAAGTGTGGTGGCACCTGCCTGTAATCCTAGCTACTCAGGAGGCTGACGCAGGAGAATCACTTGAACCCAGGAAGTGGAGGTTGTAGTAAGCCTAGATCATGCCACTGCACTCCAGCCTTTTCCAGACTCTGTCTAAAAACAAAACAAAAAAAACCCCTCCAATCTCTGTTTCTTCAATGGAGCAAGGCCGCCATGCTCTTGTTTGGGTCCTCTTTTCTATGCCATGGTTGGATAAAGCTTCTAGGCGGATAGCTATGACAATCATAGGGCTTGCCTCATTTACTCTTTTACGTTTACCCTTTTTTCAGGAATCAGAATCCTGTATAGCCTGTTTTCCAATGTGCTATGGATTGAATTGTGTCCTCCAAAAATCCAGTTGAAGTCTTAACCCCTAGTGCATGTCAGGATGTGACTATATTTGGAGATAGGGCCTTCCAAGAAGTAATTAAGGTAAAATGAAGGCATATGAGTGGATCCTTACTCCATCATGAGAAAAGGAAGAATCACCATGCATGAGTGGACCACTTGAAGACCAGGAAAGAACACAGCAAGTAGGCAGCCCACTGCAAGCCAAGGAGAAAGACCTCAGAAGAAGTTAAACTGCCAACACCACCATCTTGAACTTCTACCCTCAAGAACTGTGAGAAAATACATTTCTGCTTTTTTTCTTTTTTTTGCGATGGCATGTCACTCTTTCACCTAGGCTGGAGTGCAGTGGTGTGATCTCGGCTCACTGCAACCTCTGTCCCCCAGGTTCAAACAATTCTCCTGCCTCAGCCTCCTGAGTGGCTGGGATTACAGGTGCCCACCACCCTGACCAGCTAATTTTTGTATTTTTAGTAGAGACAGGGTTTCACCATGTTGGCCAGACTGGTCTCGAACTCCTGACCTCAAGTGATCTGCCCACCTTGAGTGCTGGGATTACAGGCATAAGCCACTGCTCCTGGCCTAGCCACCAGTCTGGTATTTTGTTATGGCAGCCTTAGCAAACACATATGAACAGCAGTTGTTTCATATACTTCATGCAGTTTTGTAGTTGTTTACAGCATTAAGGAAAATCTGGTACCAGTTTTTTGTCTGAGCTGGAAGCTGAATACAACAGATTTGTTTTAACAGAGGACAGAACGAGTTGGAAAAGTTATGAATAGTCACATGAATCTCCATTTTACACAGGAAAACATAACGAACATTAAAAAAAACAGCTTAAATGAAGTAATTGATGTACAATAAACTGCACATATTTAAAGTACAAATTTGATACAGTTTGACATATGTATACACCCATAAGATCATTATCACTGTCAATCTAAATACTAAACAGAGAGGCTGTCTCTAAAAAAAAGAGATTTATTCGGGAGTTAGGCTTTGCAATGGGAATATATCTGCCACAGTCAACTATGTGTACATATTGAGGAGGTAAAGAAAGACAAAGGTTTTGGCTGGGCGCGGTGACTCACGCCTACAATCCCAGCACTTTGGGAGACTGAGGTGGGCAGATTACATGAGGCCAGGAGTTTGAGACCAGCCTGGTCAACATGGCAAAAACCCCGTCTTTACTAAAAATAGAAAAATTTGCTGGGCACGATGGTGCACATCTGTAATCCCAGCTGCTTGGGAGACTGAGGCATGAGAATCGCTTGAACCCAGGAGGCAGAGGTTGCAGTGAACCAAGATCACACCACTGCACTTTAGCCTGGGTGACAGAGGGAAATTCTCTCTCTTTTTTTTTTTTTTTTTTTTTTTGAGACAGAGTTTGACTCTTGTTACCCAGGCTGGAGTGCAATGGCGCGATCTTGGCTCACCGCAACCTCCGCCTCCCTAGGTTCAGGCAATTCTCCTGCCTCAGCCTCCTGAGTAGCTGGGATTACAGGCACGTGCCACCATGCCCAGCTGATTTTTTGTATTTTTAGTAGAGACGGGGTTTCACCATGTTGACCAGGATGGTCTCGATCTCTTGACCTTGTGATCCACCCGCCTCGGCCTCCCAAAGTGCTGGGATTACTGGCGTGAGCCACCGCGCCCGGCAATTCTGTCTCTTAAACAAAAAAAAAAAAAAAAAGAGAGAGAGGAGCTGGGGGAGGACGGTGACCCGCGAGGCTCGTCGCAGAGAACGCGGCGGCGATGTCCGCGAGCCAGGCGAGTGCCGCGGCGGCAGCGGCGGGGCCTCGCGCGTGGCAGGGCGGCCTGGGCTTCGGCCTCCCTCCGGTTCCCTGGAAGCGGGCCCGCGGCCAGCGCGGGAGCAGCAGCAGAGGCGGAGGCTCCAGCGCGTCTCTCTCCTCCCCCTCAGCCTGAGCCAGGGGAGGCCAGACGGCCCAGGTGTCTGGAAGGGGGTCCGCTGCCCGAGAATGGGAATTCTCTTCACCAGAATATGGAGACTGTTCAATCACCAGGAGCACAATGTTATCATTGTTGGGCTGGATAATGCGGGAAAGACTACCATCCTTTACCAATTTTCTATGAAGGAAGTTGTACACACATCTCCTACAATAGGAAGTAACGTAGAAGAGATAGTGATTAATAATACACGTTTCCTGGCCGGGCGCGGTGGCTCACGCCTGTAATCCCAGCACTTTGGGAGGCCGAGGCGGGTGGATCACGAGGTCAAGAGATCGAGACCATCCTGGTCAACATGGTGAAACCCCGTCTCTACTAAAAATACAAAAAATTAGCTGGACATGGTGGTGCGTGCCTGTAGTCCCAGCTACTCAGGAGGCTGAGGCAGGAGAATTGCCTGAACCCAGGAGGCAGAGGCTGCAGTGAGCCGAGATCACGCCATTGCACTCCAGCCTGGGTAACGAGAGCGAAACTCCGTCTCAAAAAAAAAAAAAAAATAATAATAATAATAATAATACACGTTTCCTAATGTGGGATATTGGTGGCCAAGAATCTCTCCGTTCTTCCTGGAACACTTATTATACTAACACAGAGTTTGTAATAGTTGTTGTGGACAGTAAAGACAGAGAGAGGATTTCTGTAACTAGAGAAGAACTCTATAAAATGTTAGCGCATGAGGACCTAAGAAAAGCTGGATTGCTGATTTTTGCTAAGAAACAAGATGTTAAAGAATGCATGACTGTAGCAGAAATCTCCCAGTTTTTGAAGCTAACTTCTATTAAAGATCACCAGTGGCATATCCAGGCATGCTGTGCTCTAACTGGCGAGGGATTGTGCCAAGGACTTGAATGGATGATGTCACGACTTTAGATGATTTCTACTGACCTCTTCTCATAGACTTTGTATAAATGAAGTAATGGACTTTACCTGGAAGCTGCAAAAATTAATGGTTTAGATATATTTATAATAAACTGATTTAAACGTTTTCTATAAGAAGAAAAATTAAGACCACTTATTTGAAAACAAAGATGAAGTCTCACCTTCCAATTTGCTTTCTCGTTAGTTTTTTCCAAAGTAAGTTTTAAAGCTGCGATTGACATTTTTCTCATAATGAATCCTCTCAGGACATTGTGTAGCCTGTGGTAAGTACAAAGGGAGAGGAAGACATTTTGAATTTTAAGAGCTTTATTATCAGTATAACCCTCCCTAGTTGAATGTTGTTTCTTCTTGTTCCATTAAGTCAAAATTACAAATCACAGATACTTAGTTTCCAATATTTTAAAATATAACGTTACTTATAAAAAGTATTTTGCTTAAGGTTGTGTGTATATTGTGTATATACCTCAAGTTCAAGTTAATGGCTTTGATTTATGTTCTAAAGAAACACAAATAACAAATATTAATAATATCCTTATAACCATAATGAGATAAATATTGACATTGGTGTTAAGTGCCATTTTATAGTTTCTCCCTATGTTCACTGTATTGTACTAATCAACCTCCCAAATCAATGAGCTGCTTGTTAAAAAAAAAAGGAAAAGGAAAAAGCATGACATTGTGTATTGATTTTTTGTTGACTAAAATCACACATGTGGAAACATGTAATTCAGCAGGGTGGGATAGCTATCAGATTCTTGGCTTAGTATTACTAATGGGCAGGATTGTACCATGAGCAACTATCAGATTATTCCTTTCAGTGGTTCTTATGGCATCTAAATTACTGAATAAATTATTCATTAATCAGTGAATCATAAATTATGATTAAAATGGTCAAATGAATTCTCAGCATTAATTGAAAACTGTTGTGTGAAACATGTCTACCCAGGAAAGTAACACTCTATAAATACTGTTAAACAATTTAGATATATTATTTTTAAGTATTATATTGTATGTCAAGCAGTTAAAATGAATTTCAGAGTAAAAGTTAGGTGTGTTTCTGAGCAACACTGATAATGTCTTATTTTGGTACTTGAAATATAGTGTGAGATTTTTTTATTTCTAAATTTTGTTGTATCTTCTATTACATAAATGCATTGTTTGACAGTTATAAAAAAAAAGAAAGAAAAAAGAGAGAGAAAGATTTTCAAAGGAAAAAGTGAAGAGGATTACATAATTGTTTTGAAATTATATCCTTGGCTATAAAAATCCTTAACAAGGGTGTTGCCTGGCTGAGTTTGGACAGGGAGTTGCTGGGTAGATGTCTTTGCAGATGAATTTTTTGTGTAGGTTTGTGATGGCTATTGTGCAAGGTTGTGTTTTTTGCAGAGTCTTGTGATAGCTTTTGTTATCAAGCATGAAAGCCTTTCCTAGCTCTATTTATTTATTTATTTATTTTCCGAGATGGAGTCTTGCTCTGTCCCCAGACTGAAGTGCAGTGGCACAATCTCGGCTCACTGCAACCTCCAACTCCCAGGTTCAAATGATCCCCTGCCTCAGCCTCCTGAGTAACTGGCACTACAGGCACGTGTCACCACGCCTGGCTAATTTTTTGTATTTTAGTAAAGACAGGGTTTCACCATGGCCAGGATGGTCTTGGTCTCCTGACCTTGTGATCCTCCTGCCTCAGCCTCCCAAAGTGCTGGGATTACAGGTGTGAGCCACCAAGCCCA